GATCCCATAAAGGCTTTGAGCTACATTGCATGATTATTGCTGATAAAATGAGGCGTTTGTTCACTTAGCCTCTAAACAAACATGGTGAGAGTCCATGTGGGATTGCGGAGGGGAATCCAGGTAGCAGCGAGTGAAATCAAGGGGCCAGGGCTGAATGCATTGAAACTCCTTGGTAATTGCTAATGGCTGCAAATTCCAGTGCTGAAAGGAGAGAGAGAATGAATCATAGAGTTATTAGGGTTGGAAGGGACCTTTAGAGATCATCTAGTCCAACCTCCCTGCTGCAGCAGGGTCACCCAGAGCACATGGCACAGGGTTGTGTCCAAGTGGGTTTTGAAGATCTCCAGAGAAGGAGCTTCAGTGAACATTATTTTAAATCTCTTTATTATTATCATTTTTCGTTTCTTATCATTTAAAAAAAAAGCTTGTCTGAAGTCCACCACATGGTAGCATGGTGCTTGCTTTCCTATATGTTTATATAGTTACCATAGTAAACAGCACCTATCTTACTATCTTAGAGCTAATTCCATAGCTGTAGGATTAATATTATTTTCTCAATTATTTTTGTGCCACACGTAATAAAAGCTACTGCTTGGCTCCCCTTTGAATGTTACAAAACCCTGCCTTATTCTTCCTGACAGTTTAATCCCTCTTTCTTTTCCATTGACACATTTCTAATACCTCTTCAGACAGGCCAGACACTTGTGCTTCGTCTGCACAGAGTCCCCAGTGCTTAACACCTTCTGACAAAACGGGTACATCCTCCCCGTGGCTTGGAATTGATACACGCTGTCAAAAAGGGTTTTCCAAATGGTCTCTCTTTGTCACCTCTACCAGATTTTTATCCCCCGCTGCAGAAATGTGCAGTTTAATGTTGCGTTTCAAATCATTTTTGGCTGGAGCAAAGTGTGTAATGGAATCAGGGTGTCCCCTGGATGCTCCTAACAGTAGGAGATGCCTCTTTGTTTGGATCAGCAGCATCCCCATAGACTCGTGACAGCAGTGAAATTACACTCGTGACCTTGCTCACTACAGTGTTTCTTTCCCTGTGTGATTAAAGGAGAGTAACCAACAGTAGCTTCCTCTTAAAGGTATGAGTTTCCCTGTTTTGTTGCTCGTAAGAAACACAGAAAAGAAACAGGGCAATTCTCAGCTGATTGTGTACATTAAAAAAATAAAATCCTCCATGCTTTGAGGAAGAGGGGATGCTTCAGCCCTATTAAAAATAAAAAAGCACTGATAGATTGATGTTTTCTCTGTAGCAGTGTTGTTGTGATGTACTGACTGTGGGACCACCACTACAGCACGATAACAGATTTTTATGTTAATCTTTTTGTTGTCTTATTCACCACATGCTTTAAAAGGGAATATATCCTCAGACAGCAAATTTTGCTTTCAAGTGTCAAATCTGAATAAACAAAATAAGTGTGTACTTAAGGGAGTGAACCTTTAAGCATTGCCAAGTGATGCTCAAATACATTCAGCAGTCTCACTTGACTGTGCAGTTCTGCCTATGCACTTGCCTATGAGTGAGAGTTTGCTTTGGCCATCAGTACCATCTTGCAGGCTAAAATACTGGCACATCTCTCACCTGCTTTTCCATGTTCAGGGCTGGAGCTTTCCGGGTCAAAACCCCTCAAAACAGAGTGAAGTGGAAGGATAAGAGATGCAAAAGTAATTTATTTTGTTCCATTTTCAGCTATTTCATTTGTGCTTCGGCTTTTTATTTTCTTTTTTAATATAATCCTTCTTTTTTTTTGTGAATATTAACCAGCTCTTTCAGTGGGTTGACCACCTCTCTGCCTTGAAAGGGTGGGCACTGGGGCTCGGGGCTCTGCTGGGCCGGGGAGCTTTTGAAGGGAGCGAAGGGATCAGGTTCACAGGGAAGGAGAAGATGGGGTCAGGTTCCTACAGGATATGGTCCAAAAGGGGATCAAAGTGACGTAAAGGCCTCGAGGGTGGAGAAGAGTGTGCAGCTGGTTTGTTCACTCCGGGGTAAAAGAGAGGGTGAGAAATAAAACCCTTTGTTTGTATCTTGCTGATGCTTCTTCGGTGCGGGTGTAAATGAACGAGTGGTTGGGGTCTGAAGCAGCCTCGTCCTCCAGGGCTGCCCGGCTGCTGTTGAGCCCCATCAACACGTTCAATCAACCCCCGTTCACATTCAGGGCATCCTCGTGCGGGAGCAGCGCCGCTCCTGCCCTCGCCGGCGGCCTAAAGGGCTGGTGTTTATTTAGCTGATACCGCTGAGAGGCTGCTGAGGGGCTGGTGACCTCCCGTAGCTGAGCACAGAGCAGCGGCCGGAGCAGCTTCGGCTCCCTGCCTGCCAGCTTAGGCCTGCCGCATCCTCAGAGCAAATCACTGGACTCTTACGAGCAGTTGTAACTTGCAAGATGAACATAGTCCAGCCCCTGGAAGCAATAATTAATAAAAACATAAAACTGAGGCTCTCTTTTTGTCAGGTATTAATATAATTGCTTTAAATCTGCCTCTCCCTGCAAAATGTTTTCTGTGCTGGTTGTGCTCTTCATCCCAAGTGGCTGCAATTTCTTGTAAAAATAAGTCATGAAAAGTTGACCCCCTCGCCTCTGAATTGCTTTTTAAAAGATGTTAGTCCCTCAGGGCCCAATTCTAACCATGGGAGTGAGAATGATGGTAATCAGTATGCAGAGGAACATGTTAGTGTGTTCAGAGCCAAAGCTGGATCCCAAACTTGTGCGAGTGCTCCTTAACGTGCAGAGTTCCCACAAAAGGGTGATGAGTGGGGAGGCAAAGAAGAACTAAAATATCAGCCTGACAGTAGCAGTTCCACCAGCAGATGCTCTTGTACTAGCTCCTCCAGGTGGGTCACTTGGCTCCTTGCACCCATCTTAAACCAACCTGTGACAATTTGGTCACCGTGTGATCAGCTCCCTTGATCTTCAACCAACCTGTGGCAATTTGGTCACTGTGAGCAGCACCTTTGAGACTTCTGTGTAACTTGTGCCTGTGCTCAACCCACAGAGGCTTCCTTTAAACCAAGGCTTACGCCACTGAGTCAGATCCCACATGAAAAGCTTATGAAACCTGGCCCCTGTCTTTGAATAAATGCCTGTAGCTCAAAACTGGAAAAAAAAAATGTCACTGCAGGAAATAGGTGATTGGGTTCTTAATTTGTCTTCAAATGACTCGGAGCATCTGCACTGCTGATCAAGCATCCAACTGTGTTGCTAATGCTGAAGACCAGTTTTCAGCAACTCTTTATTATTTTTTATCGGACTGGCATATCTGTGAATCAATGCTATATTCAAATCTACTGAAGAGTGAAAATTTCCATCAAAAAAATCTGCACAAATTTGTCTTGGGAAATTAAAGTGTTATAACCACCCTATCTACCCATGTTTCACCCATGGGCAATGGGCTCCTTTTTGGAGCAGGGGAGAGCCAGGGAGAGGCTCCTCTAATCACTACACTGGATCATTTGCAAACAAGTGTTGCAAGCCCAGAAGGGGCAAATTTAACTCAAACTTCACTATCTGTCACAGAGGAGCTGTTTCCTCCCATCACCAGACCTTACCAGCCTTGCCCAGGGCAGCTCCATCTTGTACCTGTCCCTTTTTTGCCATGTAAATCTTATAAATGTGGACAGATGCTTCCTCTCCAATAGTGCTCCTTCCATGTGCCTGCTGGCAGTATTTGTGATAGTTTGGAGAGTTTTTTCTCCGGTATTGCATCCAGAACGCTAAAAGTTAAACATTTGAAGATGCCTAGTGCCACTGATTCTGCAAAACTGGTTTGTATGAGGGTTTTTTGTGTTCATGCAGCTACAATATCTCGTGTTACAGCATTTCAGCGCTGTAAGAATATCTGGTATAGAAGTAATGCCACCAAATTGATCAAATTATCAGGAGAAATCTAGAATGGACATAGCACAGCAACAGGACATGAAGACCACAGAGAGGAGAAGAATTTAAATTTGTAGAAATCTGAATCCAATTGTCAGCTACTTGTTTTGTCTGGATGAAATTCTGGGTTAATTGGACTAAGAGCTGGTACCCTGCTAGTATCCAAGTGGTGAAATAATCTGTACAGCTGGGGAACAGCTCCGAACCAGGCCTTAAACCTTGGAGGGTGCATATGCTTCCCACAGCTCTCCTAAAGCCCCAAGTGGTGCTACACTTACAGGACTGCATAAATAGCAGGCAAGTCAGAGAATACAACTCTGTGGGTGAATACCTGAGCAATAGATACAGCAGCAACACAGGGTAAATCCCTCTGCCTTGAAACTGTGTTTCAGCCAGTGGGATTGTGACAGGGGAGAATTAGACCACATTTTGTATGCAGCGTAGTGGATTTTTAAGATGCAACAGACAGATGTTTGAAAGTTTTCTTTATGCCATTTGCAGAAATGTGTGTGAAATCTAGCTGATCTATAGTCATTTCATTACTTGTCTTCTTTTGGCAGGTTTTGGTAGCTAGTTAGCTAGGTAGCTAGTTAGATTGGTGTTAAACGGGATCTGCTTTGCCATTTCTGCTTGCTGTTAGACTAGAGATGTTCTGACATGGCATATGACCAGTCAGCAACTGGAAGGGGCCTTGCGTGAGTCATTGAAGCCATAGTCAGACAGTGTCAGCCACAACTGGCATTAAAACCTGCAAAGAGTTGTTCTCCAGTCAGTGATTCTGCAGCATCTCCTGTGGGTGTCTGGATTTCACTAAGGATACCCTCTAGACAGCAACTGAAATAACTCTTGTCTTTGTTGCTTCCCTGTTTTTGTGAGCTCTGAAAAGAACTTGGCATATACAAATATACCGTGTTGTCATCCAGCTTAAAGAGTGCAGGACAGGAATTGTTATTCTGTTCCACTGATAACTTCAGTAGAAAAGAAATGACTTGATTTTACTCTAGCTCGGCAGAGAATAAGCATGTCTGACTGTGCCCTATGGTTTTCTGTTGCTTTCCCTTGTCTTTTTTTTTTTCTCCTTTTTCCTCCATGACTGATGAGCCTTTGTTACAATTGCAGGGCTATAATAATCCGAAACGGGGAAGTCATTCCAATGTCTTCAGAATTCACTCCTGAGACCGAACGCCAGCGACTTCAGTATCTGGTAAGAGACCCGAGGACCACGCGAGCTGCTGCTGGTTCCCCATGGTGTTCACTAACCCCACGGGGCACCCACTCTGCTGCCAAGTGCCTGGGGCTCAGTGGAGGGCCACGTACCTGCCAAACACCAGTGACTGGCCACAGATGTCCTTTAGCCAAACATGGAGGAAGAAACAGTGGAAGTGACAAAGAAGATGGTCCTCTCCCCTCCAGGGAGGCCAGTGGTCACATTGGCAGCTCGTTAGCATTGGGTAACAAGGGCTCCAACACACACTAACAAGGCACAGAACTGCGATCCATCCCCACGCTATAAACCATCCCAGGCTGCACTTTGTGAACATGGGCACGACTGCAGGGTTTATTCCTGTGCTCTAGCAGCAGGTGGACAGAGCCAGCTCAGGGGGAGGCGCCCAAAGTGCAGCTGATTCCAGTCAGTGTTAATGGTTGCAGGCGAGGATGGATGGAGAGAGACTAATTTCATTTAACGTGGCAGGACCTGTAAAGTTGGGACAGGGAGAAGAGCTGAGGAGATGTAGGATGCTTTTCACACCAAGTCATGTTGACTGATAAGCTGCCCAAGAAATAAAACAGAAGGCAAGACAGATTTGTTATTTTCTGTGAAAACAGTCAAATTGCTTTGGTCAAGGGCTATTGATCAAAATATCTTCCTAATACATCAGAGACATTTCTGCTCTCCTTCCCATGGTCTCCTGGTTTTATCTTCTAGATATTCAAACTTAAGCCAGTGTGGGCTTATTAGCTCGTTATTATCATTATTAGCCCTGTCTGGTCCTGGGGCCCTAGATCAAGGCTGCTGGAGTTGCCTGCTCTTAGGGTGCTGTTTCTCTTCAGCCTGGCCCAGGTGTTGTGGTTTGGAACGAGGCAAAGTGCAGGTTGTTGAAGGCAGGGAGGGAGGTTTTGTAGAGGACTAATATAAATTTTTCTTTAGCTGTCCCATTCGATTCCTAATGAAGTTCCCTGCCTTGCATCTGAAAATTTCAGAGGAAATACTACTTTGGGAGTGTTCATATTCCGAAAACCAAGTGCAAAGGAGCATAATAAATATTTATACTTCAGTTAAATTTAAAATAATTTGTTTTCCTTTAAGATAAAATGTATCTTTAGTATCTAGGGAGTCTGGCACTTCTCTAAGAAATAAGAGATAAAGCATTGCCTACAAGGGGTTTTTGCTCTTTTGATGTCCTTGCTGGCATGTATTTGAAAACACCAACTGATCTGAAAAGCATTTCTGCTGTTTCCTTTGGAAATTTCTTTACCTTTGTTTGTTTATTCTATTTCTATATGCAGTGAATGTGCCAGAGCTATGGGTATCATGTTCAAAGAAAATACGTGCAGGACGGCAAGAGCGTGAAACAGAATTAGAGATGGCTTCAAACATAACATTCCATAAGTAACAATTTCCCTCTAGTAAGGAAAGAAAAAAAGAGATTTCCTATAAGGCTGGCTTAAACATTAGACTCCAAAGGTTGTATCTGTCCTGGTGAGAAGATTTTTAGATAAAGTGAAATTCCAAATAATTTTCTGTACTCATCTTAAGCTGTCCCTAGATTCTTCTGTCATTGCACCCTCAGTACATCATTTTCACACTTCTTATCTGTAAATTTCTATGTTTGTATTTACTCTGTCCCTTCTGAATAAAATTAGAATTTTCTTTTTTCAAAAAGCACTGCTCTTTGGCAGCACCCTGGCTACTGCACGTCAGCTGCCTCTGTGGACACTGTTCATACAGTCGTGGGGAAGAAGCTCTGCTTGGCCTTCGGTGCCTGCTGACCGCCTGGCCGCGCAGGGGGCTGCTTTAGGTTAACTGGCATCTTCGGTGTTTGTGCCATGACCTGGGAACTCTGACTTCCCTGGGCTAGGACGGCTGCAGGCTGGTGAGTTGTTCAGGTCCTATGAGCAGTTGTTCAGATCCTATGGCTACGGCAACCCTCCAGCCAGACGTAGACACAAATGTGCTGCAGCTGGTGCTGTGTGAATAACAGGGGGGGTAAGTGTAAAGGTTTGCTAACCCCAGCTTCTGTTTTAATGCTGTTTTATTGCTGTGCATCCATGGACAGGCCTGAGCATAGCCCCCTGGCGTGGCGGCTTTAAAACAACAATTTCTCTGCAGTTGGTTGTTCAGACTTTGGAGTAACTCTGGGCGTGTTCATTCCTCAGCCTCCACTTTCACCCACTGCAGGGAGAGGACAGCACAGATCACCAGCAGCTCTGCTCCTTGGTCCTCCTGATGGTTTTATGGTTGCATTCAGTGACCTTGAAGGTCTTTTCCAACCATCACAATTGTGATTTCAAGGAGGCCGGATGGACCCTGCTGGGTCAGGGCAGTCTCCTGCATCAGGGAACTTGTGAGGACGTTGCACTGCAAGGCAGTCCTTCAGTCAAAGAGCACTAGGGGAAAGGGTTACACCCTGGTCCTTCAGCTCACCAAGAGGCTCAGTGCACAAAATGCTTCACTTCCACCATCAGGCATTCACATCCTTCCTTCTTTCCTTCCTTCTTTCCTTCTTTCTATTCTGCCATGTAAAGCTTTACATAGTGCTTTCTGCAGGAAAATTCAAGCTTTCCATATCAGTATGTCTTGAGACAAAGTCCAGCATAGAGAGGGAGCTGCTCTGGTGCGTTCTGCAGTTTTGTGGGCTAAGATTGCTCGAGGCAGTTTTCCTTTTCTCTTTGAAGGAGGCTATTAATTTCAATCCTGATAGCCTAAACAGCAACAGCAAATGGCCTAGGTTTTGTTACCTATTTCCTCAGAAAATGTGCTTAAGAGGAATGATGAATGAGGCTATTGCAGATGAACGTGTTGCTATTAGTTTCCAAAGTCGCTCTTCAGAGATGTCATTTGAGGTCTAAACGGCGCTGTTGGGTGTTGCATCCGTGCGTGCAGCCAGGCAGCGTCCTCAGGCCAAAGCCAGTTTGCCACTGCTGTCAGGGCAGAACTTAATACCTGTTTAATACCTTAATTTAATTCCTTAATACCCGTCGAGATTGAGGAGGCATCAGTAGTAACGAGCCCTGATACTTGTTGCATTTGGCACCGAGCAGACTACGGCTCGCAAGCCTAGACAAGCAAGAGTTGGCAAATCGTGTTTTCTTAATCCTCACCTGGATAACAAAATAAGTGAGAGTTAATTATCTACTGAATTAATTTACTACTTACTAATTTTTTTACTTACTAATTTCTCTACTGAAGGATGTCTGGGAAATTCAAGCCAGAACAGATATGAACCTTCATCTCCCAACTCTCAGTTCAGCGCTGCAGTTAGAAATCAGCTTCTTCATTCTCTAGTAGTTTGTAGACCATATGATGCATATGTAGCTGTATGTACCACCCAGTGTAGAACTGTATTGGTAATCTAATTTAGATGTGGCACTATGGGGATAGATATGCATGGTTGTATGCAAAGGGTCCTGTCCTTTCATAACAGAGGAAAGACCAGTCCAGAGATGGGTTCTGCTCTCACTTCCTTCTGCTGCCACCTACTTGACTTTGTAACCTCCACTTTGCTTTATGATAATGGACAGTTAAAATTATAGCATTTTTATTTCCTGGATATATTGTGCTGCACCTGTTACTTTGGGTTTTAGTACCATGTGGCAGAAAATGAATTGCAGAAAATGGCACAATATAGGAAAATGATGATGATGCAGAATACAATTGATATAGGTGAAAATAGCAAGCCTGAAAATACCATGTAATGCAGGAAAACTACTGCCAGATGATGTCCCAGAGCAGTGTCTTCAGGAATGGCTGGAAATCACAGGGCTTGCAAAGGGATGAGAGAAAAACACCTGTAAGATACAATAAGATATGTACAAGTTTCCCTTCCACACTGTTATCTAAGACACTAATGTGTAAGTCTATATTTAGCTTCCATATTGCATAGTTCATATTAACTTTGCTGATCAATATTAATTAAATAAAGAACACAGCAGGAGCTGAATGGCCCTTGCAAGAGACATGGCTAATATTTCCTGGAGCAGAATGTTTTATACAACTAATGTTGAATGTAATACATCTAGCCCTAAAATACAGCATAAAAAGTTTGAGAACCAGAAACATGTGATACAGAATATGCCAGACTTATTGCAAAAACCTCTAAGAGCTTTGGAAAAAAAAATTGTGGAAGATGCTCCAGTTTCACACCACAGAATAACAATGCTGTCTGACCAGGCCTCATAAGGATATATAAAGTGTTTCACAAGCACTGTTTTTGTTAATAAGGAGGTAAGTGATACCAGTTTCTCTGAACAATATTTCTTATCAAAGAAAGTTCTTACCAAAGAAGGTTCTTTCAAACTGAAAAATACAAAAAATAGGGTGCCTCATTTCTGTGGAAGTGCTGGTAGTTAGTTCACTTGGTGTTCTAGTTTCTGATCAGTTGAAGGGATTTCTTTGTGTCTGCTTGCACGTCTGCTTTAAAGATTTGTAGACTTTACAGTGTTGCGCCTTGTTTATTTTCTGGTTCTCTTGCACAGCAGAGCTTGATTGGGGTATTCGGGAAAGAGCCTTGTAGTAAATAGAGAACAGTGCTCAGCAAACAAGGCTGAAAAGCAAGAGCTGAGGCTTATAGCAGAACATTCTGCTCTCTGTAGAGTTACCAGTGAAACATCAAGAATAACTTAAAAATTATTCACATAAGAATTCAGCTCACAGCCACCAGAAGCCTCCAAATTGCACCTTTCCCTCTGTTCCACTGACGCCAAAATATTAGAATCACGTTAAGATCCCTAGATTGTAAATCAAGCACTGAGGGTTGGCTGCGGAAGAGAAATCTTATTTGAACATTAGCAGTCGGCTGGTAACTCTGCCAGCTTTATTAATCTTATTTCACTTGTGACCTCAGACTTTCCATCTGAGTAAATCTTCATGAAATGCAGTCTCTCCCAATCGCGTTCCCTTTTCAATAAAGGAAATTCTTGTTTTCAAGGGAAAAAATGCTAAAAGCCTCTAACTTCATTTCTTCTGATCCCGTGATCCAGCACAGTGAGTAATCTGATAATCCGCTGGTTCAGGAACTCCATTTTGGTGTCAGGTATGAGCCTTTTGCTTAAGAGAAGGCTTGCTGTTTTGCAGATGGGCAGCACTAGTCTTTAGCTAGATGTGGTTTGTAACCATTTAAGCAAGACAGGCTGTGCGTTTTAACGAACTGCCTTACGCTTTCTAAGCAGCCCAGTGACTTTGTTGTTCACAGTGCCACCAAATGCGAGGAGTAAATGACACCACAGAAAGTCCATCTCTCTCCAGGCAGTGTGTAGCAATGCAGCAAACAAATCATTGGGGATGCAATGTATTAATTGCACTGCAACTAAAAATAACGCAGCGCTGTATATAGTTTTGAAAAGAAACCAGTGTTCTGAAAGGGCAGAAAGCCTCGTGTGGACGGGCTCTGTGGGAAGTGGCTGGAGCTTCAGTCTGCAGGGAGGAGCGGGATGCAGGCAGGTGGCCCTGGAGGGACACGGCGGCTGCCGCTTCCCGGAGAAGCTGCAATTCCCATAGCCATGTGCGGAGGGAGGACTGGACAGAGCCCCACTCTGGGAAGGGACTGCGCTGTCCGGGCAGGGCCAGCCGGGACGTGCCGAGCGCTGCCAGCTCCTGTTCAGTGCAGTGAGATCACGCACAGCCCTCAGTGCAGGCAGTGCTCCATTGGGAAGGGGCCGTGTGGGAGCTGCCAGGGAGCTCCGTGAGGGCTCCCAGCGCTTCCTGCCTTTGATGAGCGCCACGTTTATGACAAGTGCAGCAACCAAAGGCAGCTCGTTTGGCCTGGCCTGATGGCTGGTGCTGCTGGAGATAAGACAGACTTTGTTGCCTTAACTGCCTGGATAAGAGAAGAAGGAGTTATCTGCAGAAAGGTTAAGAACCACAACTTTTATTTTTTGCAGCTAATGCTCTCTAAGCAGTTTGACTCAGGGAACTCGCTCGCAGTGTGTCTTGGGAGAAGGAGTGGGAAAGGGCTTGTTTATGCAAATACTGAAAATAAGTGAGGGCTATTTCAGTAAGAAAAAATACATGTGAAAAGCCTAACTTACCATGTCAGATAATCTGTGTATAAATGCCATGTAAAAGATTGTGCATGGACAAGCAAGTGCAGCTGCCTTGCCTCCTGCAGAGCCATCGGCTTGGAGGTGCTCGGTGCCAGGTACCACCGCAGGCCGCTGCCAGCGAGGCTGACACACCAGGACGGACGGCACCCACCACAGGCACACGTTAACACCAGCAAAAAACATTTGTGGCAGTTGTAACCAAAACCTGCTGCTACTTGAATTGTATTCCCCGTGAAAGAAGTTGCTTTTAAAAAGCAAGGAAAGAAAGAAAATCACGGAAGGAGATGTCCCTCTAGCTCCACAGGTTCCTTCAGGGTCGTTGGATGAAGTGTACGTTAGTAGTGCCAAATTTTGAGAACTGGGGGGAACAACTGAGAGAGGTTGAGGGGGAGAGGACCACTCGTGCTGCAGCTGCAGCCAGTCCATCAGGACTGGCGTATGCAAACCCTGCTGGCCAAAATGGAGCTTGTCATCTTCCTCGTACAGAAAAAGAGGGAAGGAAAAAACTGGGGAGGGAGCAGGAAGGGATGGTGATATTAGCTCATTAAAAATGGATGGTGTCGTGTTTTATGATATTTGTGTGCTATCTGTGGCTCGTTTTTGCCCACAGGCTTACATGCAGCCCCACTTGCTGGGAAATGAGTTCACACACCTGGAGTTTCCACGGAGGGTGCAGCGCAAGGAGGTTGGCAAGAGGATGCTCTACCGCGACTTCAACATGACCGGCTGGTAAGAGCTGCCGTCGGCCTTGCCCCGGCCGTGCCTGCGTCGGGGGCACTTGTGGCTGGTGCCAGCCTATCTTATGTCTGCTAGAAGCTGACATTTTTAGTGAGTTGGAGCCCTCCTTTCATTGTCAGGACCTCAACTCATTTCAGCATGCGGGCACTCAAAGTGGAGCAAAACACTTAAAAGGGCCCATGTGCCAGGGGATCTTTCTGGAAACTGAGCAACTTCCCTGTCTTTGAGGTAGCTTTTTATAGAATCAGGATCAGTGGGCTGTTTCTCCTTTGCATGCTGGAAAACGCTTGCAAAGGGAAGAGCTGCCTCCCATGCAGGAGTGCAGATGGCCCCTGATTTGGATAATCGTGAGGAATTGCTTTAGACACTGACCTATCTGAAAAAAAGTCATAGCCAGCCTAAAATGAAAAGGCTTGAATGAAAAGCGTTGGCTTAATGAAATGAAGACAGGAAGAGTGATGAGTTTTTGTCGGTGGCTAAATGTCCTCATTGTTTTGTGTCAGTTCAGGAGGTTCCTTCTCCAGGGACTCCCCTCACTTAGAGAAGCTCTATGTGCTCTGTACGTGACCTGTAAATGGGGAGATCCGAGATATGTAAATGGCCTTCCCTTACATGCGGGTTGTGCTTGAGCATTCAGAGCAAATGCTCATGCAGGAGGAAAGCTGAAGGGATGAAAAAGCTTGAGCTCTTGCAAGTTTGCAGACTTGGGTGGACCTATAGCCCCACATGCTTTTGATTGTCCCATACTTCACTGCCCATACGTATGATGTTTTCATGGCTCAGTAGTTACCTAAGCTTATCAATGTAATCTGAAGCTTTGAACTTGTATAGAATAGGATAATCTGGGCAGTCATCATTGTCCATCACCTCAAACAGTTGATAGTAGAAACACGTAATCCCATTCGGACATTGGATTTAAAAAGCTTCAGGCATGATCCGAAAGACAGGAACAAAAAGAGTAAATTAGTTGAACTGAGCACTTCTGTAGCAAAGTATTTAGAAGATACTGGGACAGACTGCCCAGTCTGTGCAAAGGGAGGTTTCTCACTGAATTCGTGACTTCTCTGAAGGCATCTGTAAAGAATGACTTAGCACAGACTTCCAGAAGGTCTTTTTTGAGATGAGAGATGCTACTGAAAATAAAGCTAATTTGCAGGGGCATCTACAGAAATATCATAAACCACAAAATCCTTAAGAAAAGGGAAGGAGCAGCATTTTTTCCCTCGTGATCAGAGAGCAAGCTGGATTTCTCCAGCTTCATGGGGAGTTGTTTTGTTTTTTCCCAGTTGGGTAGTAGTCAGGGAATGAGCGGAATGAGGTTAGTGGTTAAAGCAGCAGCATGGGAAGTGATACAGCTCTTCTTCGTAGACTGTGAGGAACTATAAAGAAGGAAATGATTTACATGAATGATCAAGTCCATGTTGATAAGTACTGAACAGAGCATGAAGCGGTAAAAATATCTATTTGTGCATGTTAGCAGTTCCCTGTGAACTTGAGAGCCACGTCAAAGAGAGCTCAGTGAGAAGCTCTGCTCACTGTGCTGTTCCAGGCAGAAGCACCAGCAGGATGTCAGGATGCACACAGGGCTGGAATTATTTAAAATTAAAAGAAGGGATAATTCTGTAGAGCAGTTGCCTTGTTGGTGAGTCTGTGCATAGCACTTTCACCTTTATGGAAATGGTTATTGCATAGCTAATATTTGGCATTAGAAGAAAGATAAATGAAAAGGAGCAACATTTTCAGAGTGCAATAGTGGGTAAGTCTAAATGGGCTGCAGATTTAATTCAGTGTATTGTTTTTCAGTACTGCTGTGTGAACTGTTCCTAGCATATGGAAAGGGAGAGAAGTGAGTTGATTTTCCTGTTGATTTTTCTAGATTTCCTGAAGTTTTGGACACATATTGTTCCAGTTACAGATTTGAATGTGGTCGGTACACAGATTGCCCCCAGTTTAGCACAAACATGCCTAGCTGCAAACAACTATCCAAGAACAAATACTCAAACTGTGACTTGAGTATTCAAGCCTAAATACACCTTAGTGGTGACCCAGAAAGAGATTGCCTATGCCAAGCCAAAGCATGTGGAGACCGTGGTGATGCTGCCTCTCCCTGCTGTTCTTATGAATTTTGGCTGGAAGCAGAAAATGCCCTGAATAGTAGAATCTTTTTAGCTAATTTCTCACAGTTAATGATCAGATACCTTCTTTGTTGTTGTTTGCTTCAGGATAATAAAGTAGTGAGGGACTTGCCCTGCTCTGTATTTAGGTAAAGTAGAGTCTTTCTAAATAAAGTTCCAGGTTTCTTTTGCAGGGTATTTGCTGAAGGAAGACTTGTTTTCCATGGAATTGTGTGTGGTGATCTCCTAAGTGGAGGATAAACAATCTGCTTCTGTTTATCCTGAAATCTGGATCAGTTTTAATGGTTAAAAATGCAGGCAAGATGTTGGCTTTCGGCTTGAGTAGCCTGTAGAGGTGGTAGTTGGAGTTGGCTGGTATTGCACAGTAATAGTTTTCTGTCTCAAGATTTTTCTTTCTATTTTCTTCCCTTTCTAATTTCTAGAATTAATTGATGCATCACAGTGGCCCACATACATCTCTCTTTCTAAGGACAGTTTCTGTCATGGAGAATAAGTTAGCATATACATTCCTTTTCTAGAAAAAGTCAGGTAAAGCCTTGACCAGCTAGAGCATCTACATACACCAAAACGCTGTCAAACCTTTCTTGCTTATAATGCAGAAGATCAGTTGTCAGAATCTTCTTTGATTGATGACTTCCCTGGATGTTGCCGTTTGCAAGTGTGAGTACACGGGCAATCGAAGCAGAAAGCAGTTGCTCTTGTTCTTAATTACTGATCTTTCAGAAAGATGGTGTAAAATGCAGCTCTGATACATCCTCTGGAAAAAGAATTGTTTTATTTTAAAATTCGGGACGTTTTCCGTGGTTTCTATTGGAAGCTGCATGACTTTTTTGTCCTCTCCTTTCTCCTGTGCTCCGGAGCGATGCAGCCTCTCAACAATGGCTTGGCTTGCCCAGGCTGGGTGCCTTACAAAAGGTTATTGTCTCCGCGTCTGTCATACTGCATTTGGCCTCCACCACATACTTAATTTTTCCCTTTTTCCCCCATGAAGTTTCCACATTGGCTTTGTCTCGGCTGCCCACAGCGGTACCAGCGCTGCCAAGTTTCCCTGCGGCATTAAAGACAACCGCTGATCCAGCAGCGCCAGCCCGAGCTGCCTGTAATTGCTCCGGGACCAACATCTCCCTTCTCCTGTGAGCATCCCCGTCCCTCAGCCCCTTCTCTGCAGCGGGAGGTCGAGGCCAGAAATGCCCTGTGGCGCTTGGATGGGAGCTGGTTGCAAGGCAGGCAGCTGTGTTGCTAATGGGCACCCACAGCTGGATCCCTGTTCTGGGAGTTTGGCATCCATGGCTTGCAGAGGATGCGCCTTTATGGTCAAGGTCATTCTGGTGTCTTTGGCAAGGCCAGGCAGCAGAAGCATAAGGGACCCCGTAAGCAAAATGTTACCAATGTTAAGAAGGGTGTAGGTAATGTGAGGTAGAAGCATGCGAAGAAGAAGCAGGCCTGATGTTAATATACCCTAGTGTTTGTCTTCAAATACACAGAATCAATATTCTCCATCTTCTCCCTTCACTCAAGACACGGTAAGTTTGCTTCACCCATGAATGAATCCAGTGTGAGCAATTTCTGTGGTTTTTTCCCCTTATCGAGCATGCATTTCTGAGTGCTTGGCTCTCACTGCGTCTCAGAGCCCTTGCGGAAACCTGCTGTGTGGTTTTCTGGTGCATCGTGCTCCCGGCCCGCATACACAGGCACACGCAGAGCTATTTCTGCCCACGTTCCCCTGTCAGCCTCCCGCAGGGCCGGAGCGTCCTCACGGCACCACATTTAACTGGAGGCATCCAGAGAGCACTACCTCTCAGTGTCCGTTTTTGTGGTTTTCCAAATTACGGTTTTTTTTATGTGGTTTTCCAAATTATGTTTCCAAATTATGTTTTATGTTTTATGTCTTTTCAGTGGTGGACAGTGATAGGACTAGAGGAAATGGCTTCAAACTGAAGCATCGGAAGTTCCACAGGAACTTAAGGAAGCATTTCTTCACTGTGAGGGTGACAAAGCACTGGAACAGGTTGCCCAGAGAGGTTGTGGAGTCTCCTTCTTTGGAGATCTTTAAAACCCACTTGGATGCAGCCCTGTGCCACGTGCTCTAGGTGACCCTGCGTGAGCAGGGGGGTTGGACTCGATGACCTCTGAGGTCCCTTCCAACCTTAAGCATTCTATGATTCTATGATTCTATGATTCTATGTTCCTCCTTAGAACAAAAGCAAAAGCCTTTCTGCATTAAAGCAGAGGAGCTTAAGGTCTGAAGTGACAAAAGAGTCCTGGACCAGAAGTCTACTTTTAGATCTGATTTGTTTGTGGCTTCCTTTGCCCCCAGAGGTTACACAGAGCCAAACTATACCCCATCCAAGTTGGTTCAAGCAGCAGGTCTCATCCTAGCTTCTTGCAAAGGGTTAAAATCCCGGGATGCGGCTATCAGGAGAGTGGTCCCTTCCAGGCAAGCGCTCGGCATCCTCCAGCAGCAGAGCTCGGTGTCTGCTGAGCTTGTGTCCTAGCACACGGTTAGCCACCCAACGGTCAGCCTGCCCCAGGGAATCGCTGGTGTGTCTGCAATTTATCCCGCACCAGGAAGGCTGCTGCCCTGGGGCTCGCGCGGGGCAAAACACATTTTATTCTGGAGTAAACGCTGCCTGCTTCCTGGCCTGCCACCAGCCTGTCCTGTGCTCGCCCTTTCCTTCCAGCTGGGAATGCCTTTTGGCCGTGAAGCATCTCATTTAAAGAAGCAACCTCACTTCTCAGGTCATTTTATTTGTTCTGGGATGGAGGCCTTCTGCTTCTCTTGTGCAGCCCACCTTGCAGTCTGCATTTGTGACTCCAGCTCCCAAAACAGATAAAAAATCAGGTTTTATTAATCAC